TCGGCACCTTGCGCACGGCGCGGCGCGGCGCACTCTTGGGGGACTTCGAGACGACGCCCGTTCCCGGGCAAAAGGCGCGGGCTCCTGCGGCCGAGAGCCTGCGCGAATCCAAATGGAGCTGGTGTGCCTCTGTGCGAAGTGAGCTACATCTAATGCCCGTCTCGGGCACAGCACGAGTCGCGTCTCCGCGGCGAACGCGCGCAGTGGAGCGGGGCAGGCGGAGGAGAATGCGGAGGGGGGGGCGGAGGCGGGCGACGAGGAGAGCGAGGCGGATGGGGAGGGGGAGGGGGAAGGGGAGGCGGACCCCTTGCGTCTTTCCTCCACTTCCGCATCGCGCGAATTCTCGGATTCCTGACTCCACGGGATGACTCGCGCGAGAAAGCTGGGCCGACGTGGGGCCCAGCATATCCGATGTCAGAGTTGCAGGGCTGTCTCCAGAATACGTGGCCCCCCACCATAGGGCACCGTGCGACCCATCCCCCTTCGCCCCCCTCGCCCCCCTCCACGTCCGAGCTGCACTTCTGGCCCCAGCAACGTCGTCCGTCCAGCGCCAGCTCGGGGCGGCCTGGGACGCTGCATTCGCGAACGCAGAGGGGCGTTATACTTATACAACCACCCTTCGGGCGATAAGGAGGTTGCGGGGGGGGAGAGAGGGGGGGCCAACATCTGACTCAATCAATATCACTATCGATCTCACTCAACGGAACACCACGGGACACCGCGGGGCACTTGTCGATTTCACTATCGATCTCACCATCGGTCTCACTCAACGGGACATCACGGGACACCACGGGCCACCACGGGCCACCGCGGGACACCGCGGAACACCTCGATCTCACTATCGGTCTCACAATCGATCTCACTATCAATCTCACTCAACGAGACACCATGGGATATCACGGGACACCTCGGGACACAACATCGATCTCACTATCGATCTCACCATCGATCCCACTCAACGGGGCACCGCGGGACACCGCGGGACACCACGGAACACCTGTCGATCTGAGTATCGATCTCACTGTTTGGGGCACCACGGGACACCACGGGAAACCTCGGGCACCGCATCGATCTCAGTATCGATCCCACGATCGATCTTACTATCGATCGCACTCAACGGGGCACCACAGGGCACCTGTCGATCTCACTGTCGATCTCACTATCGGTCTCACTTTTCGGGGCACCGCGGGACACCTCGGGGCGCCACGTCGCTCTCACTATCGATCTCACTATCGATTTCACAATCGATCTCACTCAACGGGACACCACGGGGCACCACGGGACAGCGCGGGACACCGGCGGGGCACCGCGCGGCACTGGCCGCCGGAGGAGTTACACTTGGTCCGGCCGCGGCCCAGCCACAGGATGATTTCGGGACACAAGCGGGGCGCCGGCGGGACACCGCGCGGCACCGACCGCCGGAGGAGTTACATTTGGTCCGGCCGCGGCCCAGCCACAGGAGGATTTCCTCACTATCGACGTCACTATCGATCTCACTATCGATCTATCTGACAATCGATGTCATCTACATCATCATCGTCATTACCAACATCAACATCAACATCAGAATCATCATCATCAACGTCATCATCATCACCACCACCATCATCACCATCATCGCCATCATCACCATCACCATCACCACCATCATCATCACCATCATCACCACCACCATCATCATCACCAGCATCACCATCATCACCATCATCATCGTCATAATCATCACCATCATCACCAAATAATCATCATACTCATCATCATCGTCGTCGTCATCATCATCACCGTCATCATCGGGACACCGACGGGACACCGGCGGGGCACCGGCAGGCCACAGCGCGCCACTTGGCGAAGGGAATCACTTGGTCCGGCCGCGCCTCAGCCACAGCGGGACACCAGCAGGACACCGCGCGCCACCGGTTGCCGGAAGGGAATCATTTGGTCCGGCCGCGCCTCCGCCACAGGAGACTTTCCTCTCGCCCGCCCACGCAGCTTCGCCGCGCCCGCGCGCACGGCGCGCACGAACACGCAACCGAAATCAATTTCCCGGTAGGGGTGCTCTCCGTTCCACTTCGATCTCACCCCCCAACCTCCGAACGAGGGGCAACCTGACTGGATCTCCATGGGAAACGGCATCTCCGAAATTCGAGCTGCGAGGACATGTCAAGCAAAAGTGGCATGGCCACCTCACTCCGGCCACCGCAGAGACCAGACTTGCAGGGTTGTGAGACGCGACCATGGCGAGATCTCCATGGCGCAAGTATTTTTGAGCTTGGAGTTTCTCAGTCTCTCAGGCAAAAAACACCCGCTGATTTTTGTTCGGCGCGCCGGGTCGCTAGGGTCTCCATTCTGCAGACGGACGGGGAGGGAAGCATCTGGGTGCGCGGGCGGCGCCGAGCAGCCTGCGCACTGGATCTGGCAGGCCCGGCACCTGGCGGTCGGGCCCAAGGTCGCGAGCACAGAGGCCGGTCCGGGATTGCCCGCGGTCTGCCTCCAGGTGTTCCGCGCGCCGCCCTTCCTCCTTATCCTCTCCCGTTCCTCCCTCCACTTCGCCTCCCCACCCCTGGGCGATTATCGGGGTGGACGGATAAGCTACAGCAGCAGCAGCATCGGCGGCAGCCTCCTGCAGACCACCATCCCTCTGGCGCCGAGAGTCTCCAGGGCGGCTCGGACAGCGGAGGGCGGAGGTCACTGATTCGACGCGACAACTTCGGATCCATGACCCTCATCACGGGCGCCCCCGTGATCCAAATGGGGGGGGGGCCTACAGACCGAGATTGGTTGATATGTGCTTCCCGAAACCCTCGCCATCGCCGCGACTGAGCGCAACTCGAGGCCGTTTACCGCTTAGACACCCCATCACTAGGGGCCCCCCAGGCTAAGCTCAGCAGGTGTTCCGCGCGCTGTCTTCCTTCCTCATCCCCTCCCTGCCCCCCCCCGCCCGCCCCGCTTCGCCCCCCCGCGCCCCGGCGATTATCGGGGCGGGCGGATGCGCGACAGCGACAGCGCCGGCATCGGCGGCAGCATCGCGCATACCAACAGACGAGGACAGCGCGGATGACGCAACGGGGTCGTGGAACCAAGCGGGAACAGACGACGTCGACAGCATCGATTTGCCCCTCCCCCCGGCGCCGAGAAGTCTCCAGGGCGGCTCGGGCAGCGGTGGCAGAGGTCACGTATTCTACGCGGAAACTTCGATCTATGACCCCAACCGTCGGCGCCCCCGCGATCCACGCGGGGGGGGCGGCTGCAGACCGCGATTGGTTGATATCTGCTCCCCGAAGCCCTCGCCGCCGCCGCGACTGGCGCAACTCGCGGCCGCTTACCGCTTAGACGCCCCGTCGCTAGGGGCCCCCCAGGCTAAGCTCAGCAGGCGTTCCGCGCGCCAGCTCTCCCCCCCACCCTCTTCCTGTCCTCCCCCCACTTCGCCTCCCCGCCCCCCGGCGATTATCGGGGCGGGCGGATGAGCAAAAGCAGCGGCGACAGCATCGGCGTCATCGCCGCGCAGACGAACGGGCGAAGACGGCGTGGATGACAGTGCGAGGATCCGGGAACCAAGCCGGGTCAGAAGACGTCCGCAGCTTCGATTTGCCTCTCCCTCTGGCCCCAAGAAGCCTCCAGGGCGACTCGAACAACGGGGGGCGGAGGTCACTGATTCGACGCGGCAACTTCGGATCTATGACCCCAACCATCGGCGCCCCCGCGACCTAAAGGGGGGGGGACTTGCAGACCGAGATCGGTTGACGCGTGCTCCCCGAAGCCCCCGCCGTCGCCGGGGCCGGGCGCAAGTCCTTGCAAGGCCGCTCGCCGCTTCGACGCCCCGTCGCAAGGGGGCCCCCAGAACTGAGCTCAGTAAATGCCCCGCGCGCCGTCTGATCCGCCGCGGCTGCGCGGGGCCCTGCGTCGCGCGAGGCGGGGCGACGGGCAGTGGAAGCCATGAATATGAGCAGATCGCCCCGAATCAGCAATCCCTCTCGCTCGTCGTCAATGTGCGACATCGACGCGCGCGCAACGAGGACCTCGAGATCTATTGACGAGAAGGCACCCCTGTGGCCGCCCTCGTCGCCGCGGCGGGGCGACGGCGACGACGTCTACGACGGCGACGACGTCAGCCCAGAGCCCTCGCAAAGCTCATATGTTCACCTGCGGCCTCGGCGATGGCACAACTCTTTGCGAGACCTCGGGGCGACGGCCTCCGTCGAGTCAGAGGCGCGAGCTCAGAGCACTCGAGCCCGCGGGAAACCAGATGCGACAGGGTTACCTGCGCGCGAGGCTAGCTACATCTGGTGGCACCCACTCCCGCGGCCCCTGCTGCGCGGGAATGGAAAAAAGGAAAGTCCGGAACCTTCCTCTCAGACGCCGCACGGGGTGTCGCGGACAGCCTCGCACATCGGCGGCAATGGATCGTCCGCAGAAGAAGCGAGGGCAGTGGCCAGAAGCGGCGCGAGGTAGCGACCTGGGATCGTCGGGCCGGCGCAGCCCATCACAGTGAGCAACAACTTTGCCGCCCCGCGGGAAACGTGCAGCGATAGCGTTGAAGTCAGCGCCTTCGTGTGTCAAAGGCAGCAGCTACTTCCTTGGGCCGCTGCTACACACGAGAAGCACCCATTGATGGGCGGGCCACGATCTCCCGGCGTTCGGTTTCTCACGGGCCTGACCTCCTGACGTCGTCAGTGGAGCGCTGCGCGCTTGAGAGAACGAGCGCTTCTGAACATGCCGTCAGCTGGGTCGAACACGCACACGCGAGTCGAACAGAGACAAGACAACCGGAACCGTGGTTCATTGGCAGGGGCTGCTTTGGCCGCTGCATCACGGGCATGGTACGAAGGGTTGGCGCAGCCAGCCCAGCTCCAAGGATCGAGCTTACGAGCCGAAAATTTGAAATCCTCTCCCCACTGCGTCCCCGTTCGCTCCTCACGACTCTCAGCGCCCGATCCTTGTCCCCCACCCCCGCCATTCCCACGCAATCCTGCGCGGAAAGTGACGCCCGTCAATTGTTAGAGATACATCAGAATAATCACCTGCAGCCCAGGGCATATGCCTCAACTCGTCGGCAATCGAACCTTCATTACGGCCACTGCATGACGCGACGCCAGCGCGGAGGCGCGCCAGCCTCGGCGCGACGCGAAAAGCGAACTGATCTACGGCCGGGAGACCGAGAGCGAACCCTCGAGGCCGAAGCTAAGGCTACAGCTACGGTCTCCGCGAAAGCGCGGCGCTCACTCGAAGCCCCATCCATGACCGCGCATCTGCACGATACCGGCAATCTGATCGATAGGAGACGGCGAGTGTGCAACGTCAGAACGAGTGAACCACGTCACCTGCACCACCCCGACACCAGCCAGCGCGTCCCGCATCCGATCCACGGTGCTTGCAGTGCGAACGTCGAAGGCGCCGGACGGTGCCACCGGCAGACGCTTCCCAATGCTCTTGTACAAGTCGGCCAGTAGATGCTTCCGGAGCATGTTGGACATGTCCCGCCTCTTGGGGACGACAGTGTCGCAGAACTCCACGCGCAGGCTAGCGACGGCAGCACGCTGCGTCATGCTCCCTGCCGTGCACGCGTGCGCAGCCAAGCTCAGACGCAACGAGCAGTCTGGAGCGACCCCTCGAATTCGGCCTTCCCGAAAGTGCCTCGAACCGAAGCGGCTGCGCAAATGCATACGTCAAGGTCGGGGCTCACCGCCGGAACCGAAAATGGGCCACAGTGCCAAGACACACGTGCTTGACAAGACGGAGCCGAGAACGTGAGTCTCTCACACGCAGCAGCGTGCGGGTTCAAACAAAACGCTCTGCGCGAGCGCGCGAGGTCACCCCCCCCCTTGTTCTTTGCGGCCGCCCCTTCTTCCTCCGCCTCCTCCATCCCGAACTCTACGGAACTCCAGCGTTTGCGACCGTGGGATTCCGGAACTCTCGGCCTCATAGATTCTGGCTCTCGTTCCCTCGTTGTGGCGCGCCTGGTGGCCTTGTGTGAAGGGCAGGGGACGCGAATGACGAGGAGGAGGCGAACGACGAGGAGAGGAGAGGGAGGAGGAGAGGAATGCGTAAGAGGAGCAGGGAGGAGGAGATAAGGAAAGAGGTTGAGAGTAATCCGCAGGAGAAGGACGGCGGAGAGGAGTAGCTCGGAAGACCCGCGTATATGCTGATCGCCACGACCAGCTGCTGATCGGCAAGCACCACCGACTACGACGCGAACGACGACGGCACCAACGTCAGCTCGAAACCTGAACGAAGCCCTCACGATCACTAAATAGCACGGAGATGGCGCAACGTTTCCTGCGAGACCTCGGGATGACGCCCTCCATCGAGCCAGAGACGCGATCTCCCGCGACCTCCACCCCACCTCGAAAATAATGCAACAGGCTTACCTGCGTGTGAGGTTAGCTACATCTGGCGGACAATCACATCGCCTGGCCTGGTAGCGCCCCCGTATATTCCGATACCTCGTGGCTACAACGCCAAAGAATCGATGTCCCCATGCGACCACCGTAGACAAACATGCAGCGGACTCCGCGCGGGAGTCCTCTTTGGGGTCGGCGGCAGAGGCGGCAGCCTTTAATCATTATTTCATTGGTTCCCGGGGGGGGGGGGGGGAATGATACCAAGGCGCCCAAGAGCGAAGGATGACGTAAACAACTCGACACCAAGGCTCCCAAGAGCAAGCGGCAACGCAACAAACACCACTGTTGCCCATTGCTGGCCCCCCTCCCCCCCCAACCTTCTTATCACCCGCAGGGTGGTCTATATAAGAGCCCATGTGGAGCAAGCAGCAACGACGGAAAAAAAGAGGGGGGAGCAGAGGCCGTGAGCAACCAAGGGGGAAGAGAACCGAATCCAGGTGATGCACAGGATGTCGGCTGTCTTCAGCGGTCGGTTGGGTACGGCCCCTTAAGGGGGGAGGGGGTCCAAGCTGTGCAGCTTGGTAGGCCAACTGACCTGCTAAACAGGGGTAAGGGAGGAGGAGAAAGGGGAAGACGATGACGACAGCAAGAGTGTGGGTAGGCTTCTGTCGGCTGGACCGTTTAAAGTGTACTGGGTACTGCGTACAGTCAATGTGGACAGAAGCTGGCACAGCATACAATTATTGTGGTGCTGGGGTTCTTCTGAACAATAAAAAGTGTGCTGCTGTGTTGGAGCAGGCAAAGAAAGTGCAATTCTTGGGCTGCTACCATGAATGGTTGAAAAAAAGTGCTGCTTCGATGTAGCAGGCAAAACACCTGGCTTGAGTAGGCTGGCCTGTGAAAGCGTATAGAGTTGAATGTAAGAACTGGCACCAGATGCAATTATTGGGCTGCTACCCTTGCCGTAGATTAAAACTGTGCTGCTGGGCTGATTTTTAAAGTGGAATCACGCCTGTAGGTCAGGGGAACCCAAAGTGGGAGGCCTAGTGAGCAAGCTGAGCATGTGTAGGCCTCCTCGTCCTCTTCCTCCTCCTCCTCCTCCTCATCCTTCTCCTCCTCCTCCTCGCAATCACCGCACCGCCCGACTCCTCCTCGTCGTCGTCCTCCTCGTCTCAACTATACGCAAGAGTGACCCTGGCTAAGAATGGCCTTTGGTGCGCGGCATTTTGGTGGCGGGGTGGGTGGGAAACACAAGCGCGCAAGACGCTGCTACCGCATCGTTTTCGGCGATCGGGGGACCACAGTGGGCCCGCACCAAAGGTCACTCTGGCGAAGGGGGGTCATTCGTTCGCGTAGTCGATCCTCCTCCTCCTCCTCCTCCTCCTCCTCCTCCTCCTCCTCCTCCTCTCATCCTCCCCCTCCGGCGGCGCCGGTCTCGGGGCTGGGGGGTCTCCTCCAGGCAGGTTTCGGTCGGGCATGTCCCCATACAGGCGGGTTTTGAAAGACAGATGGAAATAGTCAAACAAACATGCGCACAGAAGAGCACGAGAAAACGGTGCCAGGCCACTTCTCTACTATTCCATATTCCGCCTGTAGAGGGACATGTCCGACTGAACGCCAGGCTTCACCCTCGGCCATCAGGTGGTGCCTCCGAGCCTTCGGGCGGATCGAACGATCCGCTCGCCACAGCGTGGCGAAGCCTCGACAGACGCAGCCAGCGCTCGGGGCGGGGCGCCCACGAGGCACCCGCGGGCGGTTGGCGGAGTACCGTAGGGGCTCGACCACAAGAAGCCTTCCACCAGGAACCCAACCCTGGAACCCCAGGCATTGATCTTTGGTATGCGAACGTCACGCTCTCAACGGCAAGACCATCGAAACCCAAGAAACCCAGGGCACCCTGGAGGCAAGCAGGGTGTTGCTTGGCATGGGCTTCCACTGTAAGAGCGAGCCGCCGCGCGGCGGACGGCGCCATGGCGCGCCGCCGCCGCGACGGCGCGACCACGGCGCGCCGCAGCTCGAATGCAACAGCCACCGACTGGGGATACAACAAGGTACCGATACAGCTGCTCCCCACACCTCTCCTGGGGTGCGTTCTGACCAGCATCTCGAGGCGAATCCGGCGGTGGCGACGAGGGCCTCCCAGGAGGCCCAGGAGGGGCAAAAACTGGGGAAGGGCAGCGGTCTGGGTAACCTCTTCCTCCTCGGACCGAGACGGCCCGCGACGACGACCACGGCGCGCCAACAGCCCCGCCGTGCGGCGGCCGACGCCGCCTCAGCGCGCCGCCGCCGCGCCCCGCGGCCGCCGCAGCCGCGGCGCCGGCCCTCCGCAGGCGGCACGGGGCTGGGCGCTATCGGGGGCGGGCGTGCGGGGCCCGCCCGCCGCCGGCCGGCCGGCCGGCCCGCCAGCCGCGCGCCCGCCGCCGCGCTCGTGGCGCTCCTCGTCCTCGTCGTCTCCTCCCTCCTCCCTCCTCCTCCCTCCTCTCCTCCTCCTCCTCCTCCTCCTCCTCCTCCTCCTCCTCCTCCTCCTCCTCCTCCTCCGCGCGTCGCCGCCGCGCTCGTGGCGCTCCTCGTCGTCCTCCTCTGGCTACAGCGGAGGCCAGTCCACCAGAAGCCCAGCCCTGAGACCCCAGGGCGTCCACCGATTTTCGGTGCGGGGGCGCGCCGCCTGCAGCAGAGCCGTCGAAGCCCGAGGAACCCAGGGCACCCTGGGGGCGAGCAGGGTGCTTCTTGGCATGGGCTTCCACTGTATCGTGCTCCGTGGTGCGCTTCTCGTCTTCCTCCTGGGTGCCCTCCCGCCGCAAAAAAAACGTGCAAGGCGCCGCCCTCACCTCCTGCTCGTTGTCGTTTTCCTTGCTGTCGTCACGTCCTCCTCCTCCTCCACCTCCTCCTCCTCCTACTCCTCCTCCACCTCCTCCTCTTCCTCCTCCAGATTCGATCAACAAATGTAGCAAAAAAGGAGGGCAGTGGCAACAGGTTAGGTCATCAGCTATATACACTGGGGGAGACCGCGCGCGCGTGAGAAGGGTGCAGGCACTCACGCAGCTCAGCAGAGTTCGAGATGCGAAGCAAAAGCCATAGGCCGGTAGCTACAATGATGGGCCAGCGCATGCGCGAAAAAAACAAGTGGCAGCAAGACCTGACGTCGATCAGCGAAGCGAGGGAATCCGAATCAGGAATCCACCGTCATCAGCTATACTGGAGGACGCAACATGTGCAAGAAAAAATGGCGGTGGAAGCAACTGACGCGGCCCTAGGAGCTTTGAAATACCATTGGGAAGTCAGACGTTACCAGCCAGCTACACTGCTGAGACCAGCGCATACGAGCAAGGAAGGCAATGGAAACAATAACGAACACTGCGGGACTTAATCTGCGAGAAACTCCGAAGCCAACCGTCATCCTATACACTGTCGGAAACCGCGTGTGCGAGATGAAGAAACGGCAGTAGCAGCAAGCATGGATGTCAATCGGCGAAGTTTAAAACACGAATCTGGGGCCTGACGGCACCGACTACATTCCTCGGACCAAATCGTCCAAGAAAGAAGGGCAGCGGAAACCAAACCCACAATGAGCAGAAAGCAGAGGGCTCTAGAGCAAGTAGCTCTAATTATACACTTGCGGCCAGACGCCGTCAGATAAAGCCCCCGTCTTTCTCTCTCTCTCTCTCTCTCTCTCCCCATTTTTTTTGTTTTTTTGTTTTCTCTCTCTCTCTCTCTCTCTCTCTCTGTATGTATATATATATATACAAGATGATAAGGCTCGCTGCGCTTCGCCTTCTAATCTTGATCCTTGCGCCTACGATGTTTCTGGGCGCGGGCGAGAACACAATTGTTCAATGAGGTGTGTGGGAATTGTGCGAGCGGAGGCGAGGCGAGGCGAGTGCGCGGTAGCGCCCGGGGCGGGGCTCAGGGCGCAGCGTTGGTGGACGCTTGAGTGGAGGTGAAGGTGGAAAGTCGGATGCCGGACGCTAGAGGTCGGAGTGCTGAGCTGATGGAGGCTGGAAGTCTATAGGTGGAAGTCCCACCAGCCCTTTAGGGCTACGGTGGTATAACGAGTTTGGTCTTCTCTCTTCCCCTTCCTTCCCCTGCTCGGGGGAGGGGTAACCTTCCCCTGGACCTGGAGGGGGGGGGATGGAGGCGTTAGAGCGTCCAAGACGGCTCAAGATGGCTCCAAGAGGCGCTCCAAGTCGCAAGATGGCCTCCAAGATGGCCCAAGATACCTCAAGATGGGTCAATATAGCCTCCGACACACCTCCAAGAGTCCTCAAGACGGATCCAAGTGCCCTTCGAGCCCTCCACGGCGCCCTCCAAGA